AGCCTGCTGGGTAACATTCTCTGTGAACAGTTGACGATCAGAACGAACTACCAGCTTCAGGTACCCGATCGTCCAGTAAGGCTGATAGCAGTAATGGTAAAGGAATAGATCGACGCTTGGGGTGATCCTTATCTCATGGCACCGAATAATGAAGCTTGTCAGAATGCGGTAGGTGTTGGGCACGAACTGAGCGGGCAGTACAGCAACCCGGCATAAGAACTCCACTATGAATGAATGGAGAGGGAACCGAAGTCCAGCAGTCAGAGCGTCAAGGTGCACTAGCACGTGCCCCGGTCGGTGCCTCATAGGGTGCCGAATGAATCCGGCATAGTATTCCCTTGGTGGGGGCAACAACTGGCTAAGTTGCCGTTCGACATCTTCTGGGAGACGTTGTTTGTGTTTGCATATGCGAGTGAAGTGTAGGGCAATGCGGGGTGGCCGCTCGGGCATCCCCTTGTTATAAACTTGGAGGTCATCTCCGGACAGACATCCGTCATCCTGTGGCTGTTCGGTATGTTTGCTGGCCTGAGGATTAGCGGGTTTAGGTGTTTGGGACGAAGAGCCTTCGGCCTGGTTACCAGCGGATGTTTTGCTTTTGCGAATCAAAGGCATCTCTTGAGATTCTGAGCTAGAGGGGTAGTACATAAAAACGCTGGAGGAACTCTGGGAATTCTAGAGAGAGAAGGCTTGAGAGTATGCAAGGGAATTCTGGGAATTCTAGAGAGAGAAAGCTCGAAAGAAAAATGAGAAAACAGTAGGAGAAATTAGGGGAAGCACCTCTCTATAAATAGGGAAAGTGCCGCACAAATCCCTAATCCATGAGCAACATGTGGCATTGGGTGGTTACAATTAATCTGGGGCATTTATGATTCATTTTTTGTGCACGTACCCCGGACGGGCTTACAGAGGATTAGCAAAGATCACAGGGACTTGCTGTTTAGGAAAAATGCTAAGTCCTAAATGTTAACCTGAAGCCCGACCGGCTATCAATGTTATAAAAGATTATCTGAAGCAAGAATGTGCTAAGTCCTAAAAAATGGTCTGAAGCCCGAACGGCTGAGTCCCAGAGAGAAGGGGTTTTTCCTTAATAAATTATCAGAACTTTCTAATGCCCGAACGGCGATCAACGACATTAAGAGTATTTGAGCAAGAAATAAAGTTAGGAAATTGGTTGTCCTACAAAACGGGCCGAATTCCGAATGAAGAGTAAATCATGCATTAAAAACAGAAAAGACAGTACACGAAGCTTCAGGCAAAAAAGGGATATATATTCATCGGTGCTACTGACCGGGAAGTACAAGCTACTTAGAGAAAAGAAAATTACAACAAGTAATTAAAAAGTACATATAAATTATTGGCCGGGGGCCATTTCATCTCCCTCTTCGTCCTCGTCCTCATCATCATCAGACGGGGGCTCAGGCTCTCTCCCAGTGGCCCGATCGGCTTCTCGTTGCTGAGCTCGCAGAAATTTCTCGAACTGAGCCTGGATGATGTCATCTTTGGGAAGATCGGAAGCCTGAACCGGCTTCCCCAGATTATTTTGAAGCTGAGCAACGAAGGGACGCAGCAAGACCTGACCAATTTTGCCATAAAGGTCTGAAACAATGGAGTCGTTCCATTTTTTGGCCTCAGGATCCTTGTCCAAGAGGGCCACCCCTGCCGATAGCTGATCAGCACCTTTGGGGAAATCCTTCAAGTACGCCCCAAAGGCGAACGGGATTTGGGTCCTTGCATGTTCATCCTTGATGATGGAGAATTCATCAGAGGATTTAAATGTTTCCCGGACGGCAGACATATCCACGTTCACTTCATAAGGACCGTCCGGGATGCTGGATGGCATTTCTTCAAATTTAACCTGTGCGGCCTCAGCGGCAAGGACCTTGGCCTGGGAAGCTGCAAGTTGGACCCGAAGGGTACCAAGCTCAGCATCCAGCCTCTGCTTCTCCTCCGCAAAGGCCCTCCGTTCAGCCTCCAAAGAGGTGATGGCTGCAGCAGCATTTTGCTCAGCAGAAGATTGGGCGACGATCAGTTCCCGCTCCTTGGCCATACGGGCTTCCCGCATCTGTAGGGTGTACAAACCCATCTACAGAGTACCGTTCGAGAGTTAGTACTGATTACAGAGAATAAAATAAAGACAAAGCACAAAAGATAATGTACCTTCAGAGCAGTCAAAGCCAGACATTCTTCAGATTGCTCGACCGGCAACTGAGGAAGGGAAAAATTGTTGAACCAAGAGGAGGTCGACCAGATCTGGCTTGCGGTAGAACCAGCCCTTTCTAAAACTTCGTGGACAGGATCAGATAAGGAGATCCGCTCGACCTGACCTGTAATATGGTCGGTGTGGGTCTCACCTGCATTCGAGGGTTCCCCCCCGAATGGAGTCGAAATGCTGAGAAAATTGATGCAGTTGATCAGAGCCGAACCGGTCGTCGACCAGCATGGCCTCGAATTGGTCCTGGTGGACCTGCTGTATTGGCTGAGGCTCTGGAAGCGGTTGAGAAGGGGCAGCATCCTGAGCAGGAATAATGGTGGGAGTAGGTTGGGGGTTCTTCCTGGATTTTTTCCGTTTACCGGCCCCACCGGCTGCGATAACTCTGCTGTCATCCATAGGTAGATCTGGGTTTGGTGCTGAAAAAAGACAAAGAACAACGTTAGTATCGAGCGGCCTTAGCGTGTGAGAAACTACAAAAAAGAACAAAAGAACGTTTCTCGCACGGGAAGGACCGCCCGGACCATGGCACTTGGTTTATCAAAACAAGTAAACCCAAGAGAACGGGCAGTACCTATCCCGGCTGTAATAAGTCGCTCGGGAGTCAGATAACTCATGATGTCCATGCATTTATCCTTCTCCACAGCAAGCACGTCCTTGTAAATTTCTTCAGTGAGGACAGGATCAGGAGTCTTGCGAGGGAAGGCATTCCATTTGCGGGGAATTAGGCCGTCCGGGACAGACACGAAGAAAAAATGGTCTTTCCACCCTTTGATTGAAGTTGGGTTTCCCTTGAACAGGATGTGTCCCGTTCGGGCACTAGTGTCCAGATAGCCGTGGGTTTGTTGGGGGCTACTTTGAAGAATTGGTGGAAGAGTTCTAGGGTTGGTCGGGCGCCGGCATCTTTGCAACGGCAGATAAAACCCGCCATTGCCCGATAGGAGTTCGGCATAATTTGGGCCGGTACAACTTCGTAGAAATTGAAGAAAGAAATGTAAAAGGGGTGTAGCGGAAACCTAAGGCCGGCCCTAATTGAGTCAAAGTGAACTATGGTCATTCCGGGCCTATGACACATTGGGTGAAGCCCAGCTTGCAAACGGAAATCCACCGGGTCAGGGATAAGGGCCGGAATTTCGGCCCTATTATGGGAGGTTAGTTTTTGCCGCCTCTCCCTAATCAATTTTAGGTCAAGGGTATGGCGAGGAAAATCGTTGGGACGTCCGGCCGCCATGGAGGCTATTTCGTCCTCGGATTTGGTGTCGTCGGAATCTTCACTGGAGGAAGAAGAAGTGCTAGGGAGGTCCTCCGCCTCAGCCCTGGTATTCGTCGTCGTTTCAGTAGAACCACCGGCAAACGGGACTGTAATGACGTCCACAATAGCGGCGTCACGATCATCTCCATGGGAAGCCATCTCCGAATCAGAGGAATGCTGTTTGGGGCTCATCTCGGTCGAGCCAGAAATGAAGATAAGGAATCCGGATTTGAAGGGATTACCTGAGCGAAGGAAGCTGGGAGAAAATTTGCAGAGGAAACAACAAAGGCCAAGGAATTGCAGAGTCGAAACCACGAATTGGGAAGTTAAAGGCTAATTTATAGTCTTGAAACCGCCGTGTCAAGAACCAATCAGAAAGCGACACGTCATAAGGAGCATTTAAGCTAAACACGTGTTTAATGAAAATACTAAACGACGGTTATCATGATGAAAATGGGGAAATGAAGCGGCAACCGTCAAATCACAGCATGGGGAACTGATTACTTCTGTACCCCGATCGTCATTCGGGGTATTATAACATTGATATACTTCCTAATGCACTCACTATCGTTCGAGACATCGGAAGTGAGGGACTTGTGTTGGGATATTGACCTAGAGGCCCAATACCCAGATCGGGAAGGCCCAAGATATCCGGCCCAAGCAACGGGCCCATCACTCTATGATGAATAGATCCAGTAAGAAGAGATACCGAACGGAGTTCGGCCCAAACAAAGGTTGGCCCAGTCAGAAGACATACCGAACGGAGTTCGGACTATATATCATACTTGGGCCAATTTTACAGCATCTTCAGTACAACCCGACATCCCGTTCGAGCAACGGCCAATCAGCAAGTGGCCAGGTGCAATTAATGCCAGACTGTGACATCAGCAAGTGGAAGCATGAATGACCAAGTCGGTGGAACAACGGCCAATCAGCATGGGGCAGCCAATGCTCTTCATTAGTATAAATAGAAGGTTTCAAGTCATTGTAAGGGTTAGCATTTCAATACTCAAGCTCTTGAATAGCATCATTTGCTCTTATTTCTTGTATCAAAGCATAGTTTCCGACATACCGATCGGGAAATTCCTTGTAATCAGATTGGTTAATTAATACAAATGATCTTTCGAGTTTAGTTAGTTCAGATCTTATATTTTTTACACGCTTTGATTCTGGGTCATTCCTGATATATCCAAAGTTCGTGTTGGGCTTTCGGATCTACAGGATTTACCCTCAACATTAACTATTTGAGTATAAACCAAAAATAATATGGAGTCACTTTTCGATAAGAAATCCAGTCATAAAAGACATTAAAAATTAATAGAAAATTATCAAATAAATGACATTTGGAAATACAATCACTTATTTGATATTTTTATACTAATTTTTGATGAATTAAATAACTGAATTTTCATTGCAAAACACTTTTGGTCTATATTTAAATAGTTGGTATTATTTTAAAGTTATTTTTCATAAAAATAATAATTCACCTTAATTATTTTTTAAAAAACGAGGACCAAAGCCTATCGCATGATTCGCATCACAAACCGATCTTATTTCGGAACTCAGAAGACTAAACCCAGAACCCTAAATACCGCTTCAGCCATCTTCTCTCTCCCCGTCCCAACCTGCGGCACCACCAATCACTGCCCGATCCTCCATGCCGGACCAAACTGCCCTTGGGCGCCGGCGGTTTCAGCGTAAACCCCATCCGATTTTGTTATGCTATAGTGACTCTGGGTTCAGCTTAATTTTAACTTTGCCTTTTTTATTGTGTTCTCAAATTTACTTGACTTTTGTGTTTAGTTTTTTTATTTTCCATTTCTTAATTTCTGTCATTTTTGGGGTTGTATGTGAATGGGTGCAAATGATATGCAGGTAAGAGTGATATTGTCAAAGGAGTGGATGAATATAACGATGATTCAAATGAGCCAACTATGGGCGAGAAACTTGCGAGTCTCAATTTGGTGAGTAGCAATGAAGTTAAAGAACCTTCTGAACAAATAAAGCCTCCAAGTGCAGATTCAGTTCATGTACTGCTTAAGCAAGCACTGAATGCTGATGATCGTGCCCTTTTGAAAGATTGCTTGTTCAGACAAGATGAGAAGGTCCTATTGAGTTTATTCTATCCCCTTCACCCTTGTAGCAGTAGGGTACATTGGTTACAATGAGCTTTTATTTAATTAGTGTGTTGCAATTTGTATTAGTCTTGCAGGTAATTGCAAACACTGTTGCTTTGTTGAATCCATCGGATGTAATCAAGCTTTTGAAGTCTCTTCTATCCATAATGGAGTCGAGGTAATTAAAATAACACTAGTACTCCTGTTCTCAAAACTGATCGTGTTTTGTTCAGGGTTTAGTGTTTCTTTTTTTGCAGGGGTAATATATTGGTTTGCGCTCTTCCTTGGCTGAGAAGTGTACTTCTTCAACATTCAAGCATAATAATATCTCAAGAATCTTCTTTCCTTGCACTTAATTCTCTGTATCAGGTCAGAGGAGATCTCTTATGACTTTTGCCAGTGCTAATTATGCACATGAAACAAACTTCAGGGGAATGAATGCGTATGAAATGTGAGCAAATTTACAGTCAGGATAGTAACAATGTCTAGCTATAAGTTTGCTGATCAGACAATAAGGAACACTAGTGCGTGCTACTCCTTCCGTTCCAAATATGTCTCATCCACATTCAGCATGGAGTTTATGAAACATAATATTGAATAGGGGTTTACTTCTATATTCATGTGTCTAGAGGTGGACTGTTATTAAAGTAAGAGTAAAAATATATCATATACTTCGTATATTTGATTCTTTAGTACTCAAAATGTTTCCCATTCTAGAAAAGCACAGTATAAATGGGAGCGATGAAAAGAAAACTGTGAGAAAATATCTTTGTGACGGGAGTAATTATCGAAGCTGTGAAAGGTGGTGCTATGACATAGCAAGGCTACACCATAGTTCATTCTTGTTACGCAAGGATTAATTGGCATTAGCCGGGGACGTTTAAAAAGGATATTTAAAGAATGAAAGATATAGTTAGTTTTCACTTAATTTAGTTTAATTTCTATCAAACAAGTTGAACATTTCAATTTAGTTGAACAAACAAATGAATTTAAAAATGTAAGTGATATTTCCAGTTTACAATAGTTGGGCCTCACCATTTTTCAAAGTTGTACCTTGAAAAAACATAATAAAACAAGCCTTTATCTGATCATTTGTCTTGGCAAGGAAAAATACTTACAGTGAATGCTATCAATTTTCCCAATTGCAGCTCACTGAATCCCGTGTTTCTACTTTACACCAAGCTCTTCAGCTATCAAGTAGCTTAGATTTGCTCTATGCTGGAGTAAGTATCATCTTACCATTACCATTAAAGTCTATTTCTGATTCCTTTTTTAAAATTTATGTGCATATTTGATTATATCTCAGTGTACAACATGTAATTGTGTATACACACACATTTATGTAAGTGTGTGTGTGTGGTCAAATGGCAATGACACCTGCCCATGAGAAATCAGAATGGATTTCATCAGGATTTCAAATCTAGGGGCTTTAGGATTGGTACTAATGCAAAACAAAATCATCATACGCTGTTGTATTAAAGTAACTTTTTTCGCCACCAAAAGTGTGTGCATTTCTTGCTGTTAACATCAAATTTAACTGCATTGGATTTATATAACTTTTGTTTGACACACTTTTGTTTTGTTGCATAGATGGTTGATTATGGATCGGATGAAGATGGTGCTGTTGTTCCCCTTATCTATGAAGACAAGGATGATGAAAGTGAGGAAGAGGAAGACGAGGGATCCGTTGTTTCCATGGAGACTGAATGTAATGCTGAGAACATAGAACCTCAAATATTTAGTGATATCAGTGATTTTGAATGAGACAGTTGATGGTAGAAAACATGGCTGGGGCACAGCAAGTTGGGAACCTCACAATTAGAGGTTTAACCACAAGTGATGAGAATTGCTGCCTGAAGCTATTTAAGAGCTTACTTGTGAAGCCAAGAATGTTACTGTATTATTTGTTTAAGGCATTTTTCTCTACTATTTCTCATAGACTTTCCCTGGTCCGTTTTTTGAAAGGCGTTCTGTTTATTAATCTTTTCTTTAGTTTAATATTTATAAATCACTTCACTTTGTCACTATGCTACCCAAAAGACGGGATCGTCATCTTCGAACATGGCCATTGTGATGCAGAATACTATAAAATACTACGTCATTAGTAGTTAGTAAAATTTTGGAAGAAAATTTGGTCGTTGCTCTCTTCGTTTTATGGATTAAATTCTTTTCTCTCATATTTATTCTTATTATTCTAATCGGATGAGAAAATTTCAACCATACTAAATTACAAACACAGACTACACTTAAGAATTAAGATATGTAGACTATCGACCAAAACCAAATGTTATATTCATAAAGAAAAATCCACAATAATCAGAATGGATTTGGTGTCTTTGCCTTTGTTGGTACTTGATAGTAGCCAGTAGGGATCTTCAATGGGTTTGGTTGGATCACACAGGTCCAAAGCTAATGGGTATGTATTGGGTAAGGTTGGGCTTAGGTATGGACCCAACCGGGCTGAATTGGACCGGAACCGGCCCAGCTTGTTACTGTATGGGCCCGGACCGGACCCGGATGGCCAGTTCTGGGCTTTAGCTCGGGTTGGGCGGGCCGGTTCCGGGCCCACATTTATATGAACCGGACCGGCTGGTTCGGGCCGATTCCGGGCCTTTTTTTTGTTTTTCATTTTTTTTTCCTTGAGTAGGGCTGGGGGTGAGGGGGGGTCGGGGGATAATAAGAAAGCCAAAAAAAATTATACATTGAACCGGCCCGGTTTGGCCTATGGATGGACTCGGGTCCGGGCCGGGTCCGGGTCGGACCTAGGCCCGGGCGGGCCGGCGGGTCAGAAATGGTGGACCCGGGACCGGCCCGGGTCCGGGCCGGGCCCTTGTTTTGGGTGACCCGAGCCCGGACCGGAAAACCCACGGGCCGAGCCTACCCGGACCGGTCACTGACCGGGCCACCGGGTCGGGCCGGGCCGGAACAGTACCGGTCCCGGGCCGGTTCCGGGTCGGGCCACCCGGCCCGAGTCCATCCATAGTTTGGCCCGGACCCGGTATCAACCCGGGCCGGTTCCAGGCCCAAGTATCTGAAAAAAACGTCCACCCAGACCCGGCCCGGGTCCATCCCAAGTTGGGCTCAATACAGAAATGATTTATTGGTAGGTTCAGGTTAATGTTTTAATAAAATTGTACCCTAACATGTGTATATAGATTGTCTTAAGGGGTTAAGGCGGGTTGACTCACGTGTCACTAATAGGACTAGGGCAAGATGGATTTACAAGAAAAAAAGAAAAAACTTTAATGCATCACAAAATATAATGATACCAACTAAGAGGGTGAAAAAGGATTCATTGCTCTAGAAAACATTCTAATAAAATAAAAATTCAAGTTTATCTACAACTTATATTATCTCCGTTGCATTGGATATTGGCGAATTTATATTAGGCGTGGAATAAGAAAAGTAAAAATTTTGATTGAAAATTGTGCAAATGTGAGAAAATGTAACCACAAAGTATTTACTTCAAAGCGAAAAATGACAACCTTTAAGACAAACAAAAAAAGAAAGTATGCACAAATATCACACTTTTTCTTCTAATTTAAACATTTCAAGTTATATGATAAGCGTTTATTGCCTCAATCATTCTAAAATTCACTCTTTTCCATATAAGCATTGGTTATCCAATTCAGTCTTGATGTAATAATACAAATAAAATATTGTCGTTATTGATCCAATATAGCTTTTCCAGCTTACTGCTTACTATCTAAAGTTTACCGATGTCTGTCTTTTAAGAAAACAAATGTTACAATTGGGATTTGGGTTGACAAGCTGAGCCGAAACGGGTAATAACTAGTTGGGCCGATGGGCAGGGTAGGTGCATGGCCATTAGCAGCCATCTAATAAAAAATCTACTGATACAGATTGAAGGGTCCATATTTTTACCAATCTCCAAGTCCCGCCATTTACATAATTACATCCAACCTTCAAGCACTCTATCATAAAGCAGAGTGCATTGATATCCAATCACCTAGGATGTCTTTTTTTGGACTGTTTTCAATACCAGATCAGGACAGATCAAATCAGACCAGATTTAAACGGACCAAATCATATCAGACTTAAACACACCGAACTAGATCAGATTTGGACAGTTATAAAATACAAAGACCAGATATTTACTAGACCAAACAAGACTAGTTCAGATCAGATCAGACCAACAAATTTCACTCCAAAAGAAAACATCCTTAATGGGATGAAATTACAAAGATACGAAAGCACTTAGGAGTGGACTCGGGCCGGGCCAACCGGCCCGGAACCGGACCGGCCCGCTACTGTGTGGGCCCGGACCGGCCCGGTGAACCGGTTGGTGCCCGGTTCGGGCCACCCGGTCCGGTTCGGTAGGCGGTTCGGGCCCGGGCCTGCTAAATAGTGAATCGGCCCGGTCCGGGCCAATTTATTTTTTTTTTCTTTTTTTTTGATTTTTTTTTTAAGTTTTTGGGTTGGGCTGGGTATGATGGGCCATTTGAGGTGGTTTGGGGTGGTTTGGGGGTGAGGGGGGAGGGTTGGGGGTTAATTAGGAAAAGCCAAAAAAAAATTACATGAACCGAGGCCTTGGCCGGCCCGGCCCGGGCCGGTTCCGGGCCTCCCCTTTAGGGATGGACTCAGGTCCGGGTCGGGCCTAGGCCCGGGCAGGCCGGCGGTTCAGAAGTGGTGGACCCGGGACCGGCCCTAGTAACCACCGGGTCCGGTCCGGGCCCATTATCAATTTTTTTTCCTCTCCCTAATTAACCCCCCTCCCACCCCCAACCCCCCAAACCACCCCAAATGACCCAAAATACTCAGCCCAACCCGAAAATTTAAAAAAAAAATGAAAAAAAAAAATAGTTTTGGCCCGAACCGGGCCCGGATCCGGCCGGGTCGAACCTTGTTTTGGGTGATCCGAGCCCAGACCGAAAAACACACGGGTCAGGCCTACCTGGACCAGTCACTGACCAGGCCACCGGGTCGGGCCGGGCCGGAACAGTACCGGTCCCGGGCCGGTTCCGGGTCGGGCCACCCGGCCCGAGTCCATCAATACTCCCCTTTCATGAACCGAGGCCCGGCCGGGCCCAAGCCCGAACCGGGCCAGAACTGGAACCGGTCCACCCCTAAAAGCACTAGACTAGATCAAATTAGGAAGATTGATATGGTCATAAACTCATAACTCATATCGCAAGCAAATCCAATGTTTTTTAAACTTTTAATTTTGTAGAAGGAAAATGGATTGATTTTGAAATAAAGACAATTGGAGGAAGAAATATAAATGTAGTCTCAAATTGTAAAATACATTTACTATTCACTTACCATTCACTTGGTCAACTTAAATCACTCTTAATCTTTTACTTTATATATCAAAAGTTTATAAAATTTGAATTATTGTTTGCAGGGTTTGTAGCAATTTTTATGTAGTTTCTGAATATGTAAATTTTATTTTTCTAAAACTAATTTGAGTGTTCACAGGGATCAATTTGCTTTATCGTCGGTCAAACATCGTAAACCGTAAAGTATCTTACAAAACGGGACAAATGGAGTATATATCCTATACAACTTGGTAAATGTTCTCCAGCATTTACCCCACTGATTTTGGTGGTTTGCCTTCTAGGTTTTAAAAAAAGTACTAGTATATATCAAGTAGATGAAGCCATGCAGGCGTAAGTCACAAAGGCCAGTAGTGACTCACTAGAGGAACAAGTGCTTGCCAAATAAGCATTGTTAGTAAAGATATTGAGCAGTCATAAATAAAATATTTTTGGTACAAAGAAAGATACATACATAAATAAAGGGAAACATGCTGATAATAAGAATTAAGAAGAGCTCAAGTGTGAAGGAGAAGGATAGATAGCCAAATAAAAAACTAGGCAATTGTAACAGCATTCCCACAGTACTTGAGAAGGCTCCGTGGACAATTAGGATAAGATTTGAGTCCTTGTTGAAGTTCATGGACAGATAATAGAAGCTTTACTGGCCGGAATTCGATAGATTGGTTGTGGCCCCTATTCTCCGTGAAGGAGATTAGCTCACGCTGCAAAAGGTGCTCAAATGCCTATGAAGAAAAATCAGAACATATATGGGTATTACTTCCAATTTGAACACATTAAAAATTAAAATGTACCACCCGTGTCCATTTTTTTACTGACCAAAATTTTATTCCACAAGATTAGCGATATCTGCTAATTTTTATACGGAGCATTAGTTAAACACTTGATCGGTATCTGAAATGAAAATAAATGGCACTTCTAAGTTCTACCTTCGTTTTTTAGATATTATCATCTTTTATTTATAAAAATATACATTTTAAATATTTCTCTAGATAATTATCTAACTCAATTCATTCAGATATTTTACTCGCAAATTTAATATATTCGGCCATTTCAGCCAAATTCATCCCGATTCTACATCTATGTCTGCTCCTCAAAAATGTTACACCAATGACATCCAAACCTTAGTCTCAAAAGAGTTTGTGGTCGGCTAATATGAATCAATGTATAAAATCGGAATTAAAGAAGATAAACAGATATCAATGCTCCACATGTATACTCTTCCTCCATTTCGCTCTCCCAAAATCGTACTCTCGTCTAAGAATAACAATGAAGAGACCACGCCACGCGGGGAATGATGGGGTGGGCTGGACTGGGGATGGGTGAGATATTCCCACCCGGCTAAAATATGGGGCAGGTGACAGGGAGTGCTATACCCGACCCCGCTATATATATACACAAACATACCACTCCCTCCGTCCCGCTAAGATTGTCTCATTTTACCTTTTTGGAAAATCCCACTAAGATCGTCTCATACCATATTTGGTAAAGTTTGTGTGGCTCTTAACCATTCTTACTTTATCAATTTAATATCAACCACATAATCCCACTTTTCTTAATAACCGTACCATCTTCTTCCGTCCCAATGTTAGTGGGACGGAGGTAGTAATATATTATACATTTATACGCCCTTCTCCTTTATCTTAACTTGGGACAAGCATGCTATCAAAAAATGGTCTAATGGTGGACTTCCCCAGACATGTTGATGAAAGAAAATGTTGAACAAATTATTTTCTTAGGTTTGATTATACCTTGGCGAAAATATATAAAAGTTAGAGTATATGAGTTAAATAAACTTGAACGAATGTATAAAATTGATTTAAACATAGCTTTTTAATTTATTTTTCAGCAAAAACTTCTTCCTTCACAATTTCTCCTCCATATTATCTTTGCTGGCATATTTATGGTTCTAATGAAAGCATAAAGGATTGTACTACATACCCGCAAGCAAACGTTCCTAGCATAATAATCAGGCATAGAAGAAGAATCATGAATGTTCTTGTACTCTGCAAAACATAGTGGCTTTATAAGCAGAATAAAACTGGACGCTTGGATGAAATTTCACATAGTGAAATTTACATTCCTGGATGCTTGAATATGACAGAAGAAATATAACTGGACACTTGGATATAACAGAATGACATTTAACTGGACACTTTGATATAATGAAACGAAATCTACATTGCTGCAAACCTTTCATTATAGAGTTGAAGTTGCAAGCCTCTTGCTTATTGACTTCCAACGTTCTCATGCAAACCAGAATATACAACTCCAAAATAGAGCAATCTGCATTGCATGTAAGTTTGCAGGTTTCAATTATCTCCCACTCATTAATAGAATAAACATTTTACTATGGTTTGATTGTCAGAATTGGAAAGAAGGGGGAGGGTTGATGTTTTGTTTTATTCATTTACTTTTTACATTTGCAATGGAGCCAAGGACTCACTACTTTTGGCTTGGGAATATGATGGAATAAAGCAAAGTGGCTCACTAAACTGTTTGCGCTTGAAAGTAGTGAGTCCTTGGAATAAAGCAAAGGACTTAGACTGGTTTTCAGTTTTCACTAGTAGTGAAAACTGTCACTGGACGTAGACCGCTTCTTTGTCAAGAAAACTGTCAAAAGTAGTGAGTCCTTGGAATAAAGCAAAGTGGCTCAAAGTCCATGCAATTTTCGACACGGTTTTCAGTTTTCACTAAGGGTCATCCGGAAAGAGTCTCTCTGTGCTTCAGTATAGGGGTAAGACTGCGTACATCCGAACCCCCTTACCCCACACGAGATTGAAGATGAAAAATTATATAAAAAAACATGACTTAATAAAACACAAAAAAACTTGTTTCCAAGACTGGCAAATATAGATAAATTAGTAAAAAAAATACTTTGTGGGGCTTGTTGAAAGAAAATGAAAAGAATTTATATATACTAGTTGGGTAATGAAGGAGATACATTCCCTAATTATTTAGGTAAAAAGAGCACAAATACAATGCTATGTGCCACACAATCTCTAACCTCAAAACTGTGTGCTATGACTATTCTAATACTTCCTCTGTCCCTTAAAACTTTGCCAAGTTTGACCGGCACGGGGATTAATAAAGTAAAAACTGTGCGATTTAGGTTTGTGGAGAGGAGAGAGAATTAAATGGAACCACAAATTCTTTACTTAAATGGGAAAGTGGCAAAGTTAGTGGGACATCCAAAAAAGGAAAGTTGGCAAAGTTTTAAGGGACGGAGGTTGTACTATTTCTAGATATAATTAAACACCCCCTCAAGCTGGATCATGTAGATCAAGTGCTCCAATCACGCTATATGGTGCATGTTTTTCAAATGCTCCAAGCTTGGTATATAATAAATTAATAATTCTACCGCTGGGATTTCTAAAGGACAGTGAGAAAAACACTTACCTGGTCTATTAACCCAACAAGTGTAGCTATTATACACCAGAAACAGTCTTTTAAAAAACAAAGCAGCAATCAACTTCAATATGTTTTGTTCTATTATGAAATTAGATTCGAAACAATATGTAGTACTGCTTGGTTGTCACATTATGTTATCTTAGCCATCCCTATTCCGTCTAACTGATCCTGCCTAATCCTGTCTATGTTCTGCCTAACCCCGTTCCACCTTGTCTAACTACTCTGGACAGTCTGTCAACCTACCTAGCTCTTTTTAGAGCATTGGTTATGATGGATAGGATAGATGGAAAAGTAGATAGAAAAATGACAAACGATATCTCTTCTTCCCAATTCATCCCTTAATTTCTCACAAATCCAATCCAAACGAGGGAAAGTAATATGTCTGCAAGTTTTCTTTCCACTCATTTTTATGTCCCATACATAGTAGTCAAAGGCGAGATATGGCGCACGCCATATGCGCCATCGCCATGACAAAGTGGTCATCACCATAGCGCCATATGCGCCATTCGTATATGCGCCACCCTCATGCGCCACCCTCATGCGCCACCCTCATGCGCCATGAAAAATGCCTTTGAGCAATGGTGATCACTACGCGCTATGACAACTATGGTCCCATATTTTCACCTATGAGGCTATGACACTGATAGTGATGTCATTCAGAGTTTCGGATCTAAACCTCACAAATGAAATGCATAAATGTCCTGATAGAAATGGGGTACATACCATAGAAAAAATTAAACTAAAATGGAAGAGAGAAAATAAGCATACATTTGGAGCTTAAGAAAATGGTGGGGGTGCTAAGAAAAAATGATCTTTTAATGATTGGCTTTACCTTAAAATAGAGTACAAAGGAAGAATTAAATTTAATTAAATCTTTTTAAATTTAATTAAATCTTTTTAAAAGTGTATATGTATAGAGTTCTTAGTTTTTATAATATATATAAGGAGAGTTTGAACCAAACATTTTTCAATTGAAAGAGCTAGACAGCAAGGTAACATGAATAATGATATACACATTACCTTTCAAACACTCCAGCTTGGGTTGCCTTTGGGTATATGAAAGTGCCGTTTTAAAGTTCTCAATTGATAAGAATCCAGATTTCATATCCATTTGAGACACAGCAGAGAACCTAATGTCAAGTAAAAGTATGAGGATTTACCATCAAAGAAGAAAAAAGAAAAGAAATGTTGCACTTCAGTTCTTTAACCTAGAAAAATGTCGACTCACAGGAATTTCAAAAGATGGTTGAAAGTTGAGTCGGTGTTACACAGCAAATCAATAATGCCTTTGAATGTGCCATCTGATACAATACTCTTGAGACAGTATCAAGGATGTAAAACAATATACTGCATCTTACATAGTTACATAACAGGATGAAAACAAGTAGCTATCCAGTTGCTATTACTTTTTCCCTAGAGCTTGTTTGAGAGATAGGTCTAGAGGGTTTTAGATGGGGGAGGTTATGTTTTTTAACAAAAACAAAATGCTTGTCATTTTTTATTTAAGGAAAACATCTGATATGATAAATTACAATTAATATTTTCAGTCCTAGACTCCTAGTTATTTATTGATTACCACAAGTCCACAACCCATATATAATTCACTTAAATGAAAATAAAAATAACCCTTACAATGCCCTACAACTTTTAACGCCCAAACATACCCGAAAGGAGAAACACATTTTGACTTCTGAACTCTATAAATAAAAGACCAAATGAATTGTAGGGTATTATAGGACAAACTACCAACCCAAATGCAAATATAACTAATAGAAGAGAGGATACAAGAAGCTTGGTGTTGAAAGCATCTACATATTTAGTAGGAAGACCAGTGTCCTTCGGCAACTGCAAAATGTGCTCCAGAATTCTGATTATCCAGATTACAAATGTCAAGAAAAACAACTTTGAGCAAAAACATCTAAAGGTGAGACATGAGGTGAAGAGTTACCGGTCCAAATCTTCCCTTGATGGAGGCAAAAATAACAGTTTCCTATGTGAGAAACGAGACCTAACTCTTTTCTCTAAGAGTTGATCAGCATCCTGCAATGTGCATAGATATCATTTCAGCATTGATATAATATAATCAAAAGTAAAAATCAGGTGCCTACCAATTTTGTCACATTGCCTAACAATGTTGCCACTTGGAAGCCTGTGGAATTTTTTTAATCCTGCCCGAAACTAAGTTTTCTTTGCACTGAACTAATCAATTCCCCTTATAAACTCTCCTATCATCAAGTGACCTTTATATATAGCACCTAAACTAATCATCTTTAAAGTTTTAGTGTTGAACATTGATTATATCATTTAACTATAGAAGGTGTTACAACATTGATTATGATCTGTAAACTGCCAAGTTATACATATGATTTATTTTGAAGAAAGCAGTGCATTCTTATTTTTGTGTTGTGAGATTTCAACAAAATGAATATCATTAAACTGTTATTTCTTTTAAAAAAGTGAATTCTATTTTGAGGTATTGCTACCATTTTTCTATTTGAAAATTTATGATTATTTTACGATTGCTTAAGATAAGATCTTAAACATAAGATATATCAAATTTTTCCAAGCACAATCACTCAGTCACTCAGTGTTTTACTTCAAGTTTAGTTTTTGTTTTCCATTTCAAACATAGAAAATAAATATGTAAGTAATGATCCAATCATGTATTACAAATTTGAATAATTAGAAGCTTAATTTATTTAACTAACTCTATGCATTGAATTTATGATTTCAACATTCTCTATGGATAGTGAAATAGAAATTTCAAAATATTACAATTACTAAAGGTTATTTGATCAGGATTCAGGAGCCATGCAAACAGTTCTGCAGTGAAGGGAGCCCAGAAACTCTAATTTATTCTACAAAAAAATAAAATGATAAAAATTGAGCATTCAGGATGTTCAGAATTCAGATTGCAATCCTCCCATGCAAATGACATGATTATGTTCAAAAAAAGTTGTTACAGGTGAATAATCAAAACAGAGCAAACTTTTGAAACATTGAAAAGAACTGAGAGGTGAACATACCAACCGGCAACTGACGCCAATAACCACAGCCTGTGATGTCACAGATTGCATTGCATCTAATAAACTATAAAGTAACCTTTGTTTACCCTGAAAAGTAAAACGGGGAGAGCCACATAAGCATCAGGTGCAAAAACTTGCAACCTTAAGGATGTTTTTACTTGGACTGTAATTTGCTGGTCTGGTCTGGTTTCTTTGTATTTTTATAACTATCCAAGTCTGGTCTGGTCTGGTCTGATCTGGTCTGGGAGGAATTACAATCCAAGTAAAAACATCCTAATAGTTACGGAGTAATACAGAACGTCTTTCTCTGCTGTTCTCCTGAGGACTTACCTGTGCAAAAAGGTCAAACTCATCCAATACAAATATAATTGTTTTATGAGCCAATCCGCATTCCCTGATAAAACTCATCGCATAAATAAATGAATAAATGAATGAATATATATATATATATATATATAATATATATATATACATATATATATAGAGAGAGAGAGAGAAAATGCATGCACCAGGGGAAAGGGATAAAACAAGATATACTAGTATCTTAAACATTCAGATAGATTAAAATGGAGAAATCGCTTTTTTATACAACAGGAAAAGATTGTTCATTGCACAAGCAAGGACAAACCTTAGAATTGCTATCAAGAACTGGGTGTTATCATCAGATGATGCCTGTAACATTTTTTATGACGATGTGTCAAGTGAGAGGATGATAGCAAAGAATATATATTATGGATGAATTTAAGAGAAAACTTTGTTACCATTTTTGAGAAAAGCAACTGATGTTCCAAACATAATTGCCTTGCAATCTCCTGTGTGGCCAAATGATTATACCAAGCAGCGAGATCGTGTTAGTACTCTTGTCAATAAGGAGAGAATGACTAAATACTCTCATACACTTGGGTAAGATGAGATCATGAGAGTATGACTATAGAGAGAGAGAAGTAGAGGAAGAGCATACGCGTGAAGGACTGTTTATATCTCTCTCTTTCTCTCTAATGTTTTTAACTCCATTATCATATGTCAACTCATGTTTGCTACCCCAAACTATTTTGGGAATAAGGCTTTATTGTTGTTGTATACTTGTATGAATCAGAGATTCATGTCAATATTTTGTTCCACATTTCTAATTTTTTGTAGAATTGTCTCCATATGGAATCCAATTAGCCATTTATTTGACCCTATTATTTCAAGGTCGGGCTGTGAGGTGATGAAATCAATGAAGACTTAGAGAACTACCAAACCTACGCCATTACAAACTGACCTTTGCAAGTTAGCTATTACTATTCATGGACTGATGGACATGATAAATAAAATACAGATGTAAAAATAAAATAATTTAAATTAAACGGGGTGAGGGGCATTGCAAGAGAACGGATATCAGACCTTTAAGGCACAATTGTCATCACTATGCAATAGCCCATTGAGCTTAATCTGAAACCAGAGTAGCACTGTCATGAAAAGTATTTTATACAGATTAGGGAAGCAGCTGTCCTTTTGGTGGTTGACAGCATTAGGTTCTGGCATTTTCTTTCAAGTTTTCCATATTCACTTCGATAAAAAAAAACAAGGCTTATAACTGCTCATAACTGCTTAGATAAATAACTTAATTCATATATTGTAGAGTGTAGACAGTGATAAAATTAGTACCACAGAGATCATATCTGGAAACTCAGTTAGTAAAGCCTCAAGAACTAGCTCCAAAACCTTCACAGAAAAAATTAAATAAATAGATTGGACAATGATAGTGGCAGGGAGTGGTGAGGAAAAGGTTTAGGGAATGGTAAAATTATCTCAAACTTGCCTCTACACTGTCAAACCCTGACTTGTTTATAGGGTGTACATTTGAGATAACTTACCACCCTGTAATTATCATAAAATTAAAATAATAAGACTTCAATATTATTTTCTATAAGATGACTCAACAACTGAAACTATACCGCAACTTTACCGCATCCGCGCGGACCAAGAAGCAAAGCCGAATTGTTACAGGCTTCTGTGACAGAGCTAGAAATTATGTACTTCAATTTGCTGGAAAATAGGATGGCGTTAAGAGAAGTAATGTGAATTTTTCATCATTTTTCGTCTTCATTGTCAAGTGGAAGATGGGATGTGTGCAGGGTATACCTGTAATTGCTGTCAGGGGAATCGGGAAAAAGAGTGAAGATGTAATTCGGATTGCATAATCGGGTTCGGAGCAGGACTAGTGCTCGCTCCGCCGAGTTGTCTCGTCGACCCATACTTGCCGGGTCTGCTCCGCGGCTAATCGTTAGAAAATGGCGGGAAAATTGGCACTGAGAGGGGGAGCTTGCCTTCTTACTCCTTCGATTGGAGAAAATCCCGGAGACGGGTCTAACAAAGTGACATAGAATCATGGACGACCCAGGTTTGAATTCAGCAAATTGAAGTACATAATGTCTACAATACCTGCCAAAATATGCAGAAGGTCGGCGAGGCAGCGGCAGCGTGATGCGGCTCCCGTGCAGCTCCTTTTTCAACTATGGAGTTTACGCTTCGTCAATGGCGCGTTTACTTGTGTTGGGTGTTGCGGCGAACATGAACTGCTGCGACGCAGAGAACACTGGACTCGGGGATATTGCTGTGTCCGATTGCTGCCTTCCTAAAATACGATTAATTCCCACTCACCACTCACTAGTCACCAGTTACTCATGTGAGAAATTTAATACATTTATTTAAGAGTTTTTTACGAGAATATTACTAAAATAAAACACATTTACATAAATATGATTATTCATTACTACAATGTGGTGTTGTGGTAACTTAAACTCAAAATTTGAACATGAATTACTGTGATTTCATTACTACTCTAGTCATTAGTCATATTTTTGTAAATCATATTTATTTTGGTCATATTTATGTAATTATTTCATTATTTAAGGGAGCCTCTTCGGTGCCTTCATATTGTGGAGTGTTTTAGTGCATCCTACCTGTGGTTGTATATCATTGGAAAAACATTCCACTTAAGTTATTTGAGGAAAAAAATAAAAAATTGCATAGTGATCCTTACACCATAAGTATTTTGATCATTTTGGAAATTTGTTGTGTCGAACATTCCTTTCCCTTTTCTTCATCCCAGCTCTCACCAAGTCTAATTCTTGAGGTTAAAGAAGAAGACACCATGTCCTACGGCCTCAACATGTTTGCAGAGCTGTGTTTCCCTATTTTTTCTACGGGTTCATTTTTCGAAAATATCTTGTTCTTCCTTCAACAATTGCCGACCTTGAAGACAACGGTGTTGAAGAAAGTTCCGTCTTGATTACCTTTCTACTGAAGAGCTAAGCGACACACCAAGACTGCAACCATTGCAGATTTACAGGTAACAACATAACCAATTTTAATTGGTAGGGTTTTGCTATTTTATTTCATCTTATTTAGTTTTAGAGTTAATGAGACCTGGGAATTTATTTCAGGCTGGGGACACCATTTAGCCTTGAAAAGAAAGTACCATTTTATGATATCAATTGGTTTCTAAAAAGTTTTCCTAACCTAAATTGTTGTCTAGGCTTAGTTTATAATTTTAGATCCTATGCTTGTACAAATTTAGGTAGAAAATGAGCTTTTGCCAAGCAAGAACGAGTTACATCTTACTTACTGGTTGAGTAAAAGGTTTGTTTTGTTTTCTGAACATTTTTGCATTATCTGATTTTATGAGAAAATAAAATGCAAATTTGGAACTTTTGCAATACGTGATTGTGAATTGTGATGATTATGTTAATGTGTGTGGTGGGAACATAAAGAGATTACTTCATGTATATAGATAAAGTTGGGTTTGTTTTTCTTACAAGCATACAATAAGTATCATCCTTATGTTCATTATTAATCATACATGCACTACCCTAAACACTTCGCAAGCAATGTAGCCTTGAAATTCAGCCAATTATAGCAGGTTGTTGGCAGTAGCATATAGCTATACATTCCAAAAGATGACTTTGAAAATTTTAATTCTAATTAATTTAAATTATAATTATTCTAATCATTTTGTATCTTTATTGCAGTTTTTTTTAAACTGAACCATATAGAGCTTCTTAGGACATAGCATGACTTAGGGAGAGAAGAATGGCTATAAGGAAATGTATGTTTTTAGATATCAATCTCAGATACTTATTTATGATTTCACATGCTCAATTAGAAGTCTAGGGCCTAATTGAACCACTAAACTAAATTGATTATGTTTATTTTGAAAATAGTCTAAACTTCACACATTGTAACACCTAATTCATATGTCCTTATTGTACATAAGCCAAATGGAAAAACTACAACAATATTGTCTATAGAACAAGGTAATTATTGGTAGGAAGACTTTTTGAATGTAAGAGCTTCTTTAATAGTATACATTTAGAGATTTTAAGGTCTCAAATAGGTGGTTCAAATATTAATGTAATTTATTTATGTTATACATAATTACCTATGTTGTTATTTCTAATATTGTTATATTACTTGCTCCAGACACATGGAGGCTTTTCAGCAGATGTGGAATGAGGGTTCAAGTCACTTGAATGGACCAACATGTGCAGAAGCCATTTATAGTTGATTTACGATTTGAAGATTTTGCAATTGAGGCAGAAGATCAATTCTACTTTGACAATGGAGATGATGAAGAGTTTCAATGTGGTAGATTGAATAGAGCAGTGGAGCTTTTTGTTAGCTATCAATTGTATAGAGTAGTTGTTTATTTAAGCTGCGAGCTGTATATGGTGGTTAATATTTGTAAGCTACAATTCCATTAAACAGCAGGTATTTACAACTACAACTACTATGCAATAGGGTTTTTGTATCCTTGGGAAGAATGGGTGTCAAGTGAAAAAGACAAATGGCATTACACATTTTGTTAAGTTTAGTCTGAAATATATGATAGCTAAAATATGGCGCTTGTTTTCTTGTTTTTGTTTCAAAATTTGATTTTCAGCTTTGTATATATATCCTATGCAGGTTTGAATTGGTGTGCTAGAAGGTTTACCGGTATGAAAGAAGTGAAATTTGTTGAAAAATTTATTACAGTTTTTAGTTTGGTACAATGGTACTATAGTTTTTTAGATTCGTACTGCCATTTCCAGTCTGAAGTTTTACTACTAATTTTCAGTTTCTAGTTTGGTGATTCTGTGATGGAGTTTTCTACCATCCTTTATTTTGTGCACTAAAGCATTTTAGTTACTTATTTTCTACCAATTTTCGAAATTGCAGACCGGGGCATATGAAAATTTAAAACAAAATACACAGGTAGACTAGTAACTTCAACACTTAATTAGAGACACAAAATGATGATGTCGGCCTTTTCGTTTCTCTCTCTATGCTTCCCCGATTTCAATTCGTCTCTTTGACGAACTCTGGGGGCAAGAATGTGTCGCACAACTTTCGTCTGTGTGGAGCTTTCCCAGACACTATGGCTCATTTTCGTAAAATTAAACTCAGAAAATGAAAAAATGGGTTGGAGAAGGACTTGTTGCGCAATACTAAACGAATTTTATTATAAACGTGAGCTGGATATATTACCCAATCAGATGGTGCCAAATGTGGAATGCACCAAAACATTCCCCAACCATATATTCTCACTTTCTCTCTCTAACTCTCCATCCTCTCTATGATAATATATATTGTGAGTGGTATCCCGATATCACAAGCTATCAGAGTATTTTGAGGTGTTAGACAATCTTTATCCTTCTCTTTATTTAGAAAAAATACAAAATTCTTATTCTTTCACGTATCATCTACTACTATTGTAGTGTTATCCTTCTTCCATTACAAATTATTGTGATGTTTCTCACATGATACTTGCATGTTAACACTTCATTTTTTTTTAATTTTTCCTCAAATAAGATAAGTTTGTATCTTACACTTGCATGCCATTTACATTCTTTTCTTACTCGTGTTTGTGCTTTCCAAGACTTAACTTACCAAGACCCTTTAACACTCGCAAGAGTTTTTTTATTTAAAGAGTTAGACGTAGTTCTAATTGATACATAGTACTTGATTGCATTTTCGAACTAGTGAGTGACAAAAATATCGAGCTACTATATTATTATGATATCGAACCTGATGGATATGGTACCGAATCAGAAAACAGAGTTTACAATGCATTCTCAAGTTATATATAACTCGACACAATTCGAATTCGACTTGAATTCGAACACAATTTGAATGAAGCCATATATATTTTTGACTCATTTGAAACTCAGCTCGAGTTTGAACTCAGTCATTCTAGCTCTATTTGCTTCACACCCCTATTAGGATATATTTTCTCTCAAAACTTTGCCAAGTTTAACCTATACAAAGAATAATAAAATAAAAACTGTGGGGGAAAGGAAATATTATGAACGGTAAATTAACTAATTAAAGACAAAATGTCAAAGCTTTTGAACAATTTTTAAAGGAAACAACACAAAGTTATAAACCAAATTATTTGATTGCATTAAATAAAGGAAACTTTTATGGTGCATAATGGGTGGGGAATGTTTTGGTGCATTCCACATTTGGCACCATCTGATTGGGTAATATATCCAACTCACGTTTATAATAAAATTCGATTAGTATTGCGCAACAAGTCCTTCTCCAACCCATTTTTTTATTTTTTGAGTTTAATTTTACGAAAATGAGCCATAGTGTCTGGGAAAGCTCCACACAGACGAAAGTTGTGCGACACATTCTTGCCCCCAGAGTTCGTCAAAGAGACGAATTGAAATCGGGGAAGCATAGAGAGAGAAATGAAAGGCCGACATCATCATCCTCAACGTCGGTATCGTCTTCTACAAGTTCGCACAGTCCTACCGTTATAGTGGTTCAATCCACTTTGGAGCAACTCTGATCCAGGTTAGTGGCATCATCTCTAATTTGTTGACTCTTCACTAATTTGATCTAACCTGTGTGTTAAAGTTATTATCCGTGATTTGATTTGCATTTAGGATTATGAATTTGGTTAGTGTGAATTTAGTTGAATTAAATATTGATTTTTTAAATGGTTCTAAATTAGGGTTGGTTTCTTTTCCATATCAGTTGTTACCTTCACTTTTTGAAAGCATGATTTCAGTTGTACGCCCTTTTATGTTCAATCTGTTAAGGAACTACTATTAATTTCAAACCCTTGTGAAACTTTGATAGGAAAAAGCATCTTATTCTTTATTATGACCTCACACTTAAAGAGAATATGAGATGATGAAGCATTCTAGCAGCAATAATACAAAAAATAAATAGTTTTCATATTCAAGCTAATCCAACCAATAGTTGAGCTTGTGATTTAGCAAAACCCATTGCCTTTAAGTACTCATCAGATTGATAATAAATGTGATGCAGTTAAAGCATAAAACCCATTGATTTAAGTACTCATCAGAGTATGATTAAGTTCATTAATTTAAAGCATAAAACATTATGCATATGCATACTTCTTAGGGGTTCCATTCTTCAGTAGTCATTAATATATATTACAGAGTATTTTATTTACCATACCTTTATCTAACTATTTATTTTGCCGGACAACCCCT